TGCGCATCTCACTAGTCAGTACCTCCCACTTCCCTGCGTTCAACAAACATTGCATAGATTGTACTGTACCTTCTCATGGCGTCTAAGGCTTGCTGGAAAAACTGGGAGTCCATGTTGTGCTCTCGCTTGAGGATCATACACTGCTCGAGTGTGATTCCCATCCCTGTTCTGTCCTTAGCGCTCTTACAGCTCATGAAACGACATCCGTTCAACCGCCAGCAGATCTGCACCCAGAAAAAAGGTCGCTGAACTTAGATGGGTGTCGGGGACTTTGCCAAGGGGCAAACGACGACAGAAATGTTTTTACCCTCGGGGGTACCCCTTATATGGGCTGCATAGGTATGTGCGGCCCCAAAGGGTATGGTCAGAAATTGGGTATCGATTTTGGTCTCAAATAGGGTATGGTTTTTGCACTCTAGTCTTAAATTAGGTATGTTTTATTTACAAGAAGCTACTTCTTCATCAATATCGATAAGGCTATCAACAAAAGCCCTTCACTATGACTTTAAAATCGATCTGAATTAGGGAACTATATATAACGCTGGTCTGAAACAGGGTATTGATTTTAGGGTCACGTCTTAAATAGGATATGGAATAGAGTAAAGGTTTTGGGAAACTGGCTACACACCCCCACCCACTGATTTGTCTGGAGCATCTCCTGTCCCCCGAGAGTTTTACCCGCGGGACGTCTTACGTGATAAAGGAACGTTTGGGAACAAGACAACCGCGCTCCCATGGCCATGGAAACGAGGTTGGGAATATAAATGTTCTTCATCACCCTCATACGAAACTGTGCCCTTAGCCATGAATAAAGACTCAACTATAAGCTAACAGCCTTTATTAAAAACTGGATCATCGGATAATGCAATTCGAGAGTTTTCATTGGCTTAACCATCATGGTGTATGAGCCATTACACCATCTTTTTAGTTTTATTTTAGTCCAGTTTTCTAGTCTAGTACGTCACTAATTATACGTACATAATTTACAGTTCATGTACTGATTTCATTATTGATTTTCTGACCTTTTCTATATTTTGGGGGCGTTTTTAATAAAACAATTATTCCACTCGCGCTTGTTGGATGTGAGATGATTATAGCCAACTCATATCAAACGCGCGCTCGTGGAATAATAGTTAAATAAAATCATAGCTGATTCCTTGCAGCTAAGATTAACCCCTGAACCAGGCACACTGCACGGATCTCTCAAGAACTACGTTATCAGTGTGGAATATGTGTTAGTTTGACATCCTGGGGTCAGATTCACAAAGGCCTTTTTAGATCATAGTTAGTAGAGGGAACTATGTTTAGATTAAGATGAATCGTAAGTATTGTTCGAATACAAAAGCCAAATGTTAACAATCCATACGTAGGAGAACCTCGTAAATTGAATTCCAGGTTTCCTGTCGTTTGTCGAGTATTGTTCTTCAAAATCACACCATTATTGTTGGGTGTAGCGATCTGGGTTGCTGAACTTCTCGTAAGCAACTCTCCCTTCAACCTCGATCCCAGGCTCTCTCTCCTTTGCTTCTCGAACGAGCCTGGGACCGAGATATCTCTCTCTTACGGTACTGATACACTTATCATTGCCCCACGACCTATTAATTACCTCTTCACTGATCAGAAGAATATCCACGTTCTTTCCTCGTCTACTGTCGATGTTTGATTTCAGTGACTTCATTAAATGCTCTAAGCTTGGATCTCCGTCCTTTCTGGAAGCAGCTGATGGGAGTGAGATAAAAAAAAAAAAAACGAACAATGACTCTACACAGCTCAAAGGAGTTGAGGAGCAACGTTTGTAATGGAATATGCTTGCTATAAAGTAGATTTTCAGCCTACCTGCATCGGGAAACTTGGTTTTGAACTGCTCAAAGTAAAAATTTAGAATGCTATAGTTATCTCCATTGATCTTTTCCTGTAAACTGGTATCTCCAAACCTGCAAAATCAAGACATTTAAAGACAGCATGAAAGCTCGTCCACTCTGCACCGGAAAAATTGAAAACGCAGCTTTATTTCTACGGTTAGGCCTACCGTCCACACTAATCCGTCACGAAAACGGAGCTTTTCAAAAACGCTCTCCAAACCGGAGGAATTTGAAAACGCCGGCTTTTTGTTTTTGTGTGGACGGAAAACATTTTGAAAACGGAGCTTTTAGGAAAAGATGACGTCACGAAAACCATACCATTTCCCTGCCCGAGTTTTTTTCCAACACAAATCCAAAATGACCGTTATTGTTGCGTTTTTAAATTCTCCCAAGCGTAGTGTGGACGGAAAACATTTGATTCGTTTTCAGAGGGAAACTTCCGTTTTCAGACTTCTCCGGAGCCGTGTAGGCGGGGCCTAAGTACAAGCATACGGACTAACGAGAATTTAGGTGAGGATGGCTAGCGACACTAAACCTTTCCGCCAGCGTAGCGTGTTCATTGATCCCTTGTGTGAAGAGCACGGGTATGACCTTGACCAGTCGACCTTCCTGTAACTCACGGGGAAGCAGCCGGAAGTGGATCGACGGAAGTGAAACGTTCACTTGTATGTAACCTCTAAGAATGAAAGACAAAAAAGAAGAAGAACATTATCAGTTTTGATCACGATGGAACATTTGTGCACTTGTGTGAAGGAAAATTTGTGTGAAGGAAAAACCAAACCAATCGTGATTTCGACTTTTCCCGTGTTTGCCTTCAGCTGCAAGTTTTCTCGCGTTTGCCTAGATTGCTGGCATGACTGGTTTTCTTTCGAAATCAGGCAGGGAGTATGAGGTGAGACGCTCTAGACGAGAGGGAACTGGTACGAGATACCCTTTTGTGCTGAACACTCGTCGGACCCGTATAGGTTTTTCCGCATTTTCCGTTAGTGACGTCTTTTCCCGCCTTTGCCATCAGTTACAAATTTTCCCGCGCTTGCCATCAGTTATATGTTTCCTCGCGTATCTTTTCCCGCCTTTGCCACCAGTTACAAGTTTCCCCGCGCTTGCCATCGGGTGTATTGCCATCGGTTTACGATTTCCCGCGCTTGCTATTTGGTGCTTGTTGGTACTTTGAGTTCTAATTGGTTTATTACCGGCGAGTGCTCCAACAGTTTTCAAGTAGGCGTCCCTTAGCAAAGCCTCAGACAGAAATTTTTCAGATCATTGCGAACAAACGGACAAATCCATGACTTACCTGTTTCCACTCAAAGTTGGGATTTCATCTTCTCTTTCGCACTCCTTGAACTAAAACATAAACAAACGCGGGGTCATTTTTTGAATAGCAGCTGATGGTAATGGAGCCTATGGTGGTTTTTATACAGTTTTCTTTTAATTGAAATTCTCAGTACGAGAAATGTCTGTCTTGTATTATAGCGCGATCATTTTTCTTGTGTTGTTCAATGTTTCCTCGATAAGGAAACGAGGGACCACACCAATCTGCTAATTCTTGTACAAAAAGTTAATAAATGTATAGAACCAAGACGTCATATTCACCTTGAATTTGACACAGGTTAGGTTAGCTATGCTCACACACGCATCTTCCAACATCCCCATTTCATCACCTAAGAACAAACCAAAATACGCAAACAAATTACAGTAAGAGTGATTCTTGTTGCTACTTTCGCCGTCCCAAAAGGAAAAAAAAAAACAAAAACTTAAAGCAGCCAAAAGTATGGAAGATTCAGTACCGTTTGTGCTAAGAAGGCTCTCAAACTGCGCCAGGAAACCAATCTGTACGAGTTGTTTCAGATACACAGTGTTGGAGAATGACGTGTGAAGTTTGCAGACAAAACCAACCACAAGGGACGTTACCTGTACACAAAAAAGCAATCAAACTTTTATTAGGACCGCTGGTGCTGCGCATGCGATTCAAGTATCAATTGTCGTTAATTTGCTCAGAAATCTACTCCATGTTATACAATTACTACCTAGCAACCTTACTGACACAAAGAAATATACCGCAGGCTCTGATAAAATTGATAGAAACAGCTTCTGCTCCGCAGGTACTTTGGGTTTTCTTTCACAGTTGTTATCTGGGTCACCAAGCAATGTCGTTACGTGACGCATTATCTGTGTTGTGTGACAGCAAAAATTTCCGCGCAACGATCGACACACAGTAAACCGATTTTATTTTTGCTTGATCTAGCACAAACACTTACTGCGTGAGCGAAAACTACGTCCTGCCGTCTTCGAATTTCGTACAGTAAAGATGAGTGCTTTGCTTCCTCCTAAAATAAAATGATAGCAAACGTTTGACATCGCTACAAGACAAAAATAAACACAGGAAAGGAGGGACAACAGGTTACGAGATGCGCTTTCTTACAGCGCAAAGGTTTTTCTTCATAAACCAAGCCTGTTAAATTGGCAGCTGACACAAAACTTGCGGAAAATTGCATAAACATACCTGTAACTGAAGGAATATCATCCCTAGGTAAATTTCTTTCACCAGACCATCCACGGCTCTGGAAAAGTCATGAATCTCGGACAATATCACTTCTACCCAAGATTTCCCTGTTAATAAAACACATTAGCACTCTTACACTAAAATATAAAGCATCATTTAGAAAATCAAGTGAAAATCATTCAAATAGAGGAACCATTCAGAAACAACTCATTCCCACAGTGCATTTCTACCTTCAGGTGGCCGGGCGCCCTGAATCATACTTTCCATGTGACTCAGCATCATGGCGTGGCTCTGCTCCACAAGCGTGGAAAGTTCCTACGGAGAGCAAAAGGAAGCCTTAACTCATTCAGCGGTAGGTGGAAAACTAAAAACAGTTCCATTGCTGTCGACTCCTGGGACCCGTTTCTCGAAGGTCCCGAAAACTTTTCGCACCCGTAAAGCCGTAGCAGAATCTGAAACCTTATGATTACTGAGCTCTTTTATTCGCATATTCTTTATATGAACAGAGGTTCCTTTCATACAAGAAGTTTCAAGCATATACACCTCTCTGATTTTAGATACAGATTGACTAAAAATGGCTATGCGGGTCCGAAAAGTTCCCGGGCGTTCGAGAAACGGGCCCCTGGTCAATTCTACAAAGGAAAATCACTTCCATGTGTACGTGTGTCTCGGTCTGTCAGAATAGACTGAAAAACTAAAATGACTGGCCTATATATGAGGGTAATTCTCTTAACGGATACTACACAAAATGTATGGAGACCCGTAAGGAGAATAGCGTTGTTGACCACTCTGACTTACCTGGCATTTAGCACTTGGTTTGGTGAATATCTGAACATTCCAGAAATTATCTGCAGTGGAAAACACTCAACTGTATTAGTTTTGATAGTACTACTAAAAGCTCAAGATTTCTATCCCGCATAGAAATCTACTTGTTTCCAGTCGTTCAAAACTTCATCAAAATCATCTCCACAAATACTTCGAAAACACAAAGAATCGGCCACGGTTTTGTTAACAAGCGTACCGCACTGCTAGGCTACTCATTATCTAAAGTAGATCAGAGAACGGCATACTTTATTGAACGTTAGTAGATTTATACTAACACACAAAACGAAGTGACAACCCTAACTTCTCTAGAACACATTAGGTATTTCACTTTGTTACTTGGACCAAAAAAACAGAACTCGTATGGTGAAATTAGAAACGACTACTTGTTGCGCATATATATATATATGTTCACAATCCATTCCAATCTCACTCAGTTCTGGCTATTCTTGTTTATTGCCCCTGTTTCTTCCTTAATAACCTATTATTTCCACGTTTCGTTTGCCTTAAGGTAATGTTGTGCATAGCAGAACATATTAATTGACAAAAAGTTATGGTGATACAGTTTTTTTACAGTAGTGGCAGCTATCATTTCCAGGAACTCTCTTTAAAGCGCCGAGCAGGACGAGAGGCCCTGGGAACAAGTTTGGGAGTTGGGACAATGCAACTGTTGATTGTTATGTTTCGGCTTCTGTTTACACCTGTCTGCTTATCATTCTTTACAATTCGCGACAGAAACAAAATGGATTGCTTATATATTTCAGAGGTGATTTGATTCATACCTCCGTCTACAGGCTCTTCCTCATTTTTAGGTGACGGCACTGCTTTCTCCAGTGAGGCTAAGGACTCCACGACCAATGGAGCTTCACGGAATTTTAACAGCTGTGTGGCCTGGCAAGAAAAGAGTCAAACAAATAGGTTGATTTCCGGAATCAAATGGGACAAGAAGACGACGCTTAAATCTGATATCTGGAGCATGAAGCGACACCCCTGGGATTGGACACTTGTCCGCTTCAGGGTCACACCATAATGACCCTGGCCAGGACTCAAACCCAGACCGCTCGATCCAGAGTACAGGGCTCGAACCCAGACCGCTCGACTCAGAGTGGACTACGCTAATTCTTTCGGCCACCGCGCCTCCACAAACAAATAGGGATGTTATCTACTTGTCTCGTTTGTTCTCAAAAACCGGACTGTTTCATGACAAGGTAACAGAAAAGAGTAGTTCCTTTCACAATCGAGGAAACACGTGCCATTCTTGGCAAATCCTCGTTGAAACATTCGTAGAATTTGCGATTTTTACTGTCCAATCAAACAATAGCACGAGCACTCGACAGTACTCCGAAAGTGGTTACTTCATCATTGGTACCATCAGTTGCTTAGTAACTTCGAGGCGAAAGTCGTAGATTCAGTCCGGTCTCTGAGACAGTATTTTGCCAGCAAGCGGTACTTTTCCCCGACGGCTGGGCGTTTCATTTCAATTTCTTTTTACCTTATCTGAAAGGCGCGACATTGTATCCATCACTTTCGTGACATCATTTGATCTTATTGCCCTTGAAGATAAGACAGAGTTCAATGTGGTCAGACATTATGATCACTGCGTCACCTCGTGCATTAACACGTTTGGAGAAGTAGAAAGCATCTTCCACAACAAGAAAGGATGAAAGACAGGCCTTATTCTTGAGATAGTACCTCTCAAGTTATTTTTGGATATGGTATCTAGTTTTCCCGTGGATGTCACACCACTCGCGTTGCGTAGAGGTTTTCGTGGAGGATTAAATGGGAGTAAAGCCGGTTGGGCTGTCACGTGAGCAGAATCCGCATAACACGATTGGCTATTTCTAGACACCCCTGGGATTTCGGAAGCCTGGACTGAGGCATCTAAAACCAACTTGTGTTCTTAGGCTCAGGTCAAACGTCGAACTTCACATGATGAGACGAACTAAATAGTCAATCCAAATGGGTAAAGCTCGACCGTTGGGTCAAACGTCGAACTTAATTCGAATTCAGATCGACCAACCCGGTCTATCCGCTTCAGATGGATAGAACGTGTCGTTCGACCTAAATTCAGTGGGACGAACTTAATTCGCTCAGTTTAGTTCCTCTCATGTGAAGTTCGACGTTTGACCTGGGCCTTAGTGTTGATACAAATTAAAATTTGGTGACTTACTTCTTCACGTTTTCAGAGTGCTGGCCCAACTGCGACTTGAATTTTTCCAAATTTACTACAAAAGCGCAAAAGGAGAAAATCAGTAAGCATAGATGCTTTTACCTGTATTTTCTTTCTACATTCACAACCGCGACTGACTTCGTACGTTCATAGCCGGGAAAGTGAAAGACCGAGCCCAACGAAAACAGAAAACATTTCTGAGAAAGTGACCTTTGTGAAACTGTTGCGGTGTTCTGCTGACGCTGATTTCCGTATCGTAAACGGTCGATGCCATTTTTAACGGTCGATGCCATCACTGGTAACCAAGCCTTTCAGAATGGACGATGCCATATCTGCTTTAGTATAGGCCTGGACAAGGTAGAAACTGGTTTTAATTTGTTGATTGAGTAAAAAGCACTCGTCAAATGCTTGATTGTTCATATTCACACTGGTTTGCTTGCGGTTAGCTTTTATTTGATGGTTGGGGCAACTCTCTCATTAATATTTAGGAAAGTCACGTTTTTTTGCGGAGATTTGGCGGATCAACCCGGTAGTGTAGTGGTAGAAGAGGGATGTTAGGAAGCAGAGGTTTCGGGTTCGATACTGGGTGGATACTTGCAAATTTTCTTTTTTCTTCAATTTCGTAGAGAAAAATTCGTTGATAGTTAAAAAGTGTCGCGAAATTGGCATCGACCGTTTACGAAACGGACAACTGCTCTGCCGACAGACTTCCTACAGGTCGACCTTCGCTTAATCCTTCGCTTCATCACCGCCCTCGAGAGGAGCAAAAGGGAAGTATTACTATAACGACTAGCCTACTCTGCTATGAGGAAGCCGAGAGAAGGTCAATAGCGTCTTCAGTTTGCGACGGGAATTAAACTGTTTTAAGACATGAAAATTTCTTCCACTAACCTCTTAACTGCTTGACCACAGGAGCTTTGTTTTCACTCTCCCCACCACTGAAAATATTAAATTAAGCGTAATATAAGTTCTAATATATAGATTTAGCCAAGCCTAAAAGCGGAGCTCCCGATTGCAATAACTGGAGATAAAGGAAAAAGATAATTGTTTTTTCTTGGATCAGAAACTCAAAAAATGATCAATTGTGAGCATGTGGTTTTGCTATTTTTTCCAGTTAAATTTTAACAAACTATACCCAACAAGACTAACCAAGATTGTAGAAATTACGTACGCAATATATCAGGGACTTTCAAGAGATGATTGTACAAGGAATGTGCCAGAAGAAAAGTCAACAACACGCCAGGGGTTAATTTGCGCCGAAATTTTGCCTTTGCGAATACTCCTTCCTTCTCCCCCAGAGAAATAACGTGACTAGAGCAAAGCAACCTCGATGGGCTCTGGACCTGAGCCCGCGATATAGTCACGAGATACTGGTCAGCGGATAGCTTGTTGTGACAGCTGTCACTTAACAATAGCGTGGAAGCCCAAAATCTAGCTATGGTAATGGTGCTACTCTCTTAGTTTTGAAGGTATTGGCGTACGGACGGACGGACGGACGGACGTACGTACGTACGGTCAAGTGACGACAAAATTTTTCAGATCGATAGGTTACCAAATTTTCTAAGGTATGGGGCTCCGCTCGCGCGCCAGCTCCGCTATAACTAAAATGAAACTTCTCGGTAGGTATTTACTAGGTATTTACCGTACGCAAATTCGACCATCATAAGGTCAGTGATTGTTATCGCAGAATATCAGCACAGTCGACACGGTTTGCGAATTTGGGTACAATAAACTATTCTTAGAGCTACCTTTATGTGTACACGCAATACTTGCTCTGCTGATTTTAGCACTGCCGTACATTTAAGTACAAAGACCACACAAGCATTTTTCAATAATCAATAACACTTGAGTCTTCAAAGTGAAACCCACAGCTGACTCGCGATCTTCTTCTTATGTCCAATTTCAAGTCACCTACTACACTGTTGTTGTTCATCTTTTTTTTTCATTACCTACTTTATGTATTCGTACCTTTGCTGTGCCTTTCTGAGCGTCAGGTATAGTCGCCTTAGTCCTCCTTGGCCAAACTTGAGCGTGTGTGCAGCTGGCGCGCCTACTGTGACGATATCATACAGTGTTCCAGCTGAGAACAAAACACAATGGATATCATATGAGTGGTTTTCAACTGTGTTTTCCCAACTCTCTAATTGGTTCACAACATCTTATGCAATGTCCTTAACTTATCAGCAAAAGCGAACATGCTGCTCATTTTCTCTTTTTTTTCAGCCAATCAGGAACATAATCTTATCTTACACGATTTTCATTACGTCTAGAAATTAACTGTATGTTTGGCTACACTTGACACTGGATGCATGTTTTCCCATGCTTGGCATTGTGGTTTCTTGTTTTCCTACCCTACACATTGCGGTTTCCTGTTTTCCCACCCTTGAACGGCGGTTTCGTGTTTTCCCGCGCTTGGCAATGGTTGCATGTTTTCCCACCCTTGCAACTGGTTGCACGTCTTTGCCCTGAGTTTTGATTGGTTTACTGCCTTGTTAGCGTTTGTTGCAATTGGTTAGACGTAATTACTTTGGTTTGCCAAGTTTACGAGAGCGGTTTTCAACTGAGTGTCGTAAAACCAAACTAATCGCCCTAGCCAATCACAAACGCCACGGGCAATCCAATGAACCAATCAAAACTGCAAGATACATGACGCCAACGTGCAGCGCGGGAAAACGATCGGGTTTGGTCCTACTTCTGATTGGATGACAAAATGGCGCGAATTTGTGAGCCAATCATGTAGCGTTGCAATGCAAAACTAAAGCAAATACAAATTACTCTCCACTCTCAAGTGAAAACTGCCCTGCGAGAAAGCCCTCTAAGTGCTTGTACTTTAAGACGGATTCCGCTCAAAGTTCGAGCAATAAGTGCAAAAATTATGTACTAATAATCTACTCACAGCACGGTAACTTTTTAAATACTATTTCAAACATCTCTCTGTAATTCAGTTCTCTAAGTGACCCCGCGATTAAATCCCCAAGCATTCTCGAGAAATTTAATATCAAACCTCGGAAGAGTGTTTAATGCGTGTGTTGTTGTGTTTTCAACTATCACGAAACGTCCGTTTTCATTCGAATATGGATAACTTCAAGTTCAATTTTCTCTCGCGGGGTCAGCTTGAGAGCTTAAGTCTCGATAAGATCTTCTTACCTTTATTCAAAACATTACCATGCTATGAGGTTTTTTTGGTAACTTTATTTCGGCCATTATTGCTGGAATGTTCTGCGGAAATCATCTTAACCACGTAAGAGGTTTTGATTTTTTTGGGTCTAAACAGAAATGCTAGGTAATTTTAGATATAAACATTTCAAACGGCTAAAGTTCCCTAATACCTCCTTCACTGTCTTGTATGACCTTCATTCGCTGAATGTGCAGATTAATGGGAACAAACGCTAGTTTTTTGTCGTTTCTAAGCCTGGCTGGCTTAAAGCATGTTCCTGGAATGGAAGAATTGATGCTAATTCAATTGAAGTAATGAGAACATAAAAGGCAGTGACTTTGCACAAGTAGGTGAATCTAACACAATAGGATGGAATAGGGACTGGAGGGATTGCATCATTATTTTTTTAGCAATAGAAATGAAACAGTCGGGTGGAAACCAAAAGGAAGGAGCATTAATTGGGAGTAAAAAGTTACGTGAAGAAGGAAGTTCAGACTTCCGACCCCCCACCCCCACCATGGCCCCGCCTTCCGACTTATGGGGTCTTGTGATAATTCTATGTCTAGTATATGTAGCAAATGAGATACGATAGGATAATTTATTTAACATCAAATACACAGTCAGGGGGTGGTTACCCAGTCTCATAATAAATGGTTTGATAAACTAAAAAACAAATATGTCTCAAAATAACTAACTAAGAATCACACATATCAATAAAAATAAGATGTATTTGCAAACCTTGCAAAGGACTAAGTTCCTGTAGATTGCCTTTGTAGGCACAGATGAGCTTAAAGTGATTGTCGAGAATCTCTTGTCTAGCATTCTCCCACCTTGGATTCAACTAAGTAAAGAAAAAGCCAGACAATCATTTGAATTTCATTACAACGTAAACATGTTGACTTCATAAAAATGTAATTATGTTTAATTAACGCCCAAGTCGCTAGTGGAGGGAAGGTGCCTACGAAGCCCGGGGGCTGCAACCGCAGTCACATCCCCAAGGCGCTAGAACACCCGACTGGC